CATAGTATTTAGCTCCCTTCCATTCTCTTTTGTGTTTTTATTAGACTAACTACAAGTCTTATCTAAATAACATTAGTTATTTTATGCTCGATTGTAAATTTGAGTGTGAAAGGTGATATAAGAAGTATCATACCTACTACGTACACTTATTTACATTTCGTTTTTAATTAACCTTACTTTTTTCTCGTATTATTGAAAAAAATGCAATCATGAAAAAAAACATATGAAAGATAATTATAATATATATATATAGTTTCTAAAATAACATTATCTTGCTACTTGCTACAAAGAGTTGCACTTGTAAAAACACATTGTGCAAGCAAATAATCATAACACATCATTTTTATTATAATAGTACATAAGTATTTTACTGCTTCCAACACTCGGTTAGAAATAACCGAAGTTATTGTCACATATGGTACTATTTTTCTCACAAGCATAATGTGAGCAATAAGCTAATTAAAGACACTAAAATAAAATGAGTTTTTACTATTCATAATACTATTTGCATACTCACAAATCACTATTTCTTTTACTATTCATGACATTGTTGTAATACTTTGGTCCTTAATTTTTCTATACATTTTTTTTCGATTTCAAACTTTAATTGTATTGTGATTTGGTCCCATTTTATTTTAGTATTTTTTGTTATTTACTTTTATTTTTTAAAAATTTACTACTTTAATTGGTCATTTTTTAAAATTCTCATCTAATTAATTTAAAAATTATATTTCGTAACGAGTTTTGATTTATTTTTTTAAATGTATGTATTTTGAAATAAATTTTTAAAACATGATTATTTTTTCTTTTGAAAAATAAATTTATATGATTTTTAAATTATACTTGGATGATTAATATATATAATTTATCGAAAATATTTTTTTAGATTAAAAGCGTATTTCAAATAATTTTTTCTCAATTTTTTTAGAAAAAAACTCAAATTAGGTAATTAATAATTGAAAGTTAAATATGAAAAACAAAAGGAGATGGTTGCTCTATGTATAAGGCATGTATTCAAGGACGATATAAGTATAGCATAGAAATAAAAAATTACTTAAGAATGAGGGGAAAAAAAAACAAAGAGAATTCATGTGTTTTTTTTTTCTTTTTTATATAATCAAAATTTATAGTAATCAATTTTGTAATAATTTTTATTTTTGTCTATTAACTTCAAATTTAGTCAATATATTCCTTGTAAGTTAAAAAATTTTTTTATAGTGTTTTTTTTTTATGCTGAAAACTCTAAACCCACTTAGTATAGTTATGATATATAAAAAAATATTGAATCGTTATTTTTTTAAAAAAAATTAACTATGCAACTAATACTAAACTAAGTATTTACTATTTATTTTTTTATTTTTGAATATTTTAAAATTAATTTATTTTAAATTAAATAATTAAAATTATGTTTTGGCTTAACCACTCAATGATTCAAATTAATATAGTTTTTTATTTTAATATTATTCATTCTTTTGTGATTAAATATATAAAAATTAAATCACATTCTTTCCAAAATTGATATTCTCATCAACATTAAATAATTTTTTTTTGTTGAATTCTATGTATGTTTTTATTAATTGTTACTTTAGTTTTTTTGATACAATCTTATAAAATACTAATTTTTTTAAAAAAATTTATTTAATTTTTTTAGTTAATAATCCTTGGATTAACAAGAAAAAAAAATCCTTTTTCTAATAGAAAATTATGAAAAATACAAATACGAAATAGTTAAATGCAAAATTTTGATTATATATATATATATATATATCACATTTGGTTTCGTATATTTTAATAGATTCATGGAATAATATAAACTCTCAAACTGAAATAATTTTTTAAAAATAATTTTATATATTTTATCTAACTCGCGAGTGTAATACGAGTAAAAAACTAATTAAAACTAAGCGATGTGGGATTGGGCACAAAGTTAAAGAACAACTTTCAAGTATCCCACATCGAAAAGTCACATATTTGTAAGAGTTGGAATATTTTATAAATTAGCTCTTGTTTTCTAAGTTGCAAGTACAGTGAGCTTTCTTTGTAAAGGCCATAAAGTTTAAAAGATTTTATGTTTAAGTCCTTCGATTTTGTAATTTTGTCTTGTGGATTAAATTTAGTTTTAAACCAAAATTTAAAATTGAAATTTTTTAATCGAATTTTAAAAATTGTATTATTATTATTTGATTCGGGTTTGGTTTATTTTTATGAGCTTGGTTAACCAAAAACTGAATCAAAAAAATGAATGAACACCTCTAGATATTAGTTTGAAAAATTAAACCAAGTTGGTATTAGTCTTTAATCTTATGCCTTAATAATTCTTAATAGGTGTTGGTCTACTTGAAGTTGACATTAGTCTTCAATCTTTATATGTAACACCCTCAACCTAGGACCTAAAAGGTTAAGAATATTACCGCTGTTAACCTACAATCGAGGTGTAATAAATGCAAGCTAACAAGGCACTCGTGGCTTAATCTTAATGTTTAACGTGTAAACTATGATAAAGAAACCCAACATTGGCAACGTAAGTCCTATACTTTAGCTAAAAGGCATTATAATTTTTTTGCGTTTTATTCTTTTACTTACGTTCTTTTGATTGGAATAACTAAATTCGTGATTATTGATCATCCTAAATTCCTTTCTTATTAATCCGTGCAAATTTATTTAATTATTACCCATTATTATTCTTATTCAATTATTTATTTCCTTGCATTGTTTATCATTTAGGTTAATTGGTATGCGTCTAACCATATTACTTAAGTGTCCTAAGGATACTAACATGTAATGAACAATTTAAAGTAACTATATTACAATAAGTACATTATCATTTTATTATTATACTTTGGTTACATATAAGCTACTATTTACATATAAACTAGTTATATGCCAATTACTATAAAATTAGCTTATTGACTAACTAAATCATTTTTAAAGTATTTCATTTACTTATTCATTACTTTCACTATAATATAAAATAAACCAGCTAACCCTAATACATAAAAGATAATAGCTAATACCAAGAACAAAATAGCATGTAGCGAGATCCACTTAAAAACCAAACCCTCACCCAAGGTATATATGTCCGGTGCACCCCTCGAAAATCAACTCAGCAGAGAAATATGCCATCGTACTTTAATTATCTACATCACAAGGAACTAAGTGATTAATAGCCTAGTAAGTTAACTTATGCATGTCATGTATGTGTATGCATATGCATATGTAAAACACCGATATATGCACAAGTAAATCCTTTTTTCATGTCTTAATACGTTTCATGATCGGTTCAAAAATCCTTTTCTATCTTTGAACATATCTCATTTAAGTACTTCATGGTTTTCATAATATATGTCCGACAAACTAGACCCATCCGTGAATGCATCCTATCGAACCTCTAAAAATACATGTATGTACTTGTCCTGGTCCCGAACCATTACCATTATCACATGGAAAACCTATGAAGCCCTTTCCTTCATAAAAATCCTCAAGTCATGAAAACCACATTCTTTAAAACATTTTCAATTGCTATTGGTTTTTATGACTTTAAAACATTTTTCATGAAATTAGGCATGCATAAGCATTTCATTGATAATGTATAAACATGAGGTTCATGCCATGAATAACCATATGTTTATGCTATAATAATGTATAAAATCAATAGCATAATTGCATTAATAATGTTACCTTGCATAAACAATACCAACCATCACAATTCATGCTAATACCAAAGTACTATTCAAATGACATAACATAACAATCATCCACATTTCAACCATATACAACATCCATAATTCAAATCCATTAGACATCATTCAAAAACATAATTATACATAAAATTATACAAAATAACCCAAAGTCCCACATTTTCCATATTTGGCCGAATAATGACCTAACTTTACCTAACCATTTTCTTTCAATTTCTAACATTCATTACACATCAATTTCTTCTTAATTATGTTCTATTTTCATGATTTAACATAATTAGGTATTTTTTGGCTAACTTATATGCATTAGTTTTAATTTGGGCCTAATTGGGCCTAAATTGTAACTTTACTAACATAAGTTAACCTTTAGATTTTTATGAGGTTTTACATTCTAATTCATTTAATTAAATAGTTCTTAACTAGAACTAGCTAATTTAAGTGTTAAAAACCATTTGAAAACCTAAACCCTAATTACTACAATATAGGTCGAAACTTACCCTAATGAACATCTAATTAATTTCTTCTTATTTTTTTTCCAAAATTTTAACACCAAGTAATTTAAACATGCATTATTTATTATGTATCGACTACTTTTATCACCTCTATCATTAACACCACCATTACCACCACTACCGCCATTGTTCACATTAGTGATAAAAAAATTCAAAATTATTTTTTTATTAATATTTATCCACTATGATTCTTCTTTCACTATTATCATTTTTATTATACCACCACTAATCATCATTTTTTTCTACTATCACTTCTTTTGATGGTGACATCGGCTTGCTATTACAATACAACTATTGCTATCACCCCCACCTCCTCCTCTTCCTCCTTCACAACCATCGTCACGACCAATGCAATCACTTTTTTTATTTTAACTACCATTATAGTTGATAAAATTATTTTTTAATTATTATTCTTATTTGTTATAAAAACTAGATATTAAATTTTTAAAATTCATTCTAATTTTTATTACTATTCTAAATACATTATGAGAATGAAAATATCATTTTAATTTTCTAATTTTTAGTTTAGTTTCTGTATTTTTATTTTGAAGCTTTTATTTTTGATAACTAAACGACACCTTAAGACATTCTAAAAAAACCTCCATTGAAAAATTTATTGTTTGGGGGGCAAAACTGAACTAATGAAATACTTGGGGGTATTGTTGACGTTTGCCAAAAAAAAAAAAAAAAAGAAAGAAAGAAAGAAACGGGCTGATATGGATTATGGACCCAAAAACCAAATCCAGGCCTGAAGCTTACCAGACCGGACTGAGTTGTAACCTTTTATCTAATGTGTGCGTACCCCTGGCAGCCCCTGCGAATTGAATCGCTCGCTGCCATTAAACCCACTTCAGGTGTCTCCCTCCTTCTTTCATGTTAGCTGTTTGATTGTACACCAGTTGTTTGTTGAAATGCCAAAAAAGAAATTTCTGTATTTATTCATTAAGCATATATTTCTCTAAGGAAAAGTGACGATTTTTTTTTTGTCTTGAATGAATTAGATAAGATGAGTGGCGGTGGAAGTGGTGGGTTAAAGAAAATATTGGCAGTGGCGGTGACCAAAGGAGTGGAGGAGGCGCGGGCTAGGATATTTGGTCACGTACTTAACCCAACTGGCGTAAAATCTTCTCACAAGATTTTACGAAAGAAACTCTTTGGTGAGAAAGTGGCGCAATGGTACCCTCATGATATATCAAAAGATGACCCTCTTATCATGGCTGATCGAGAAAAAGAGTAACAACTTCCTTCCTCCATCTCCGTTTCTCTCTCTGTTTTTTCTTTATTTTCCCACTTAATATTTTATTGTTTGATGTATTGATGGTTGAGTTTCTGGATTTTTTTTTTTCAAGGTGGGTTTTGTTGATTTAGTTAAGAAATTATGTTATTGGAAAGGTTTGTCATTTGTATGCATGAAGAAGGGGACTGTATTTTTAGGGAATATGGTGCTGGTTTTGCTTATTTAGATTGCTCATTTTTGACAAGCAGTTCTCCGGGTGTTTCATCCATTGAAAATAAAAAAGAGAAAAAACAATTATAACAATAAAAGGCCATATCTTTTGAGCAAAACAGTATCTTATAGGATCTAGATAGACGAATCACTGTATTTAGGAGGATCTCTTAGCATTGCTGTTTGATATTTTACCATGCTAAGTCCGTTGAGGAGGGTCATAAAAACAGATGCATTACAAACCATGAACGTGGGTTTTACTAACCTTGCCTGTTTCCTTGGTAGCCTCAAACATAAGATCTATCCAAGCCCGCCTTGCCTGTCCTTTATACTGCTTGAGTCAGCCAAAAGGCAAACATAATGTGTGGCAAAGGCATAGAGTTCAATAGAATTTGGACTGTCATTTCTCCTTCCTTGGAGACGAATTGCTTTTCTTTATGTTCAGGCAGTAGCAGTCTGTGATGTGTAAATTGCATGCCATAGCTAGCCTTAAATAAATTAAGAACTTAATGCAAGAAAAATATGAGATTTATATCTTGCTTGTGAATGTAAAATGTTCTTCTAGCTGAAAGAATATTAAAGATTTGTGAAGTTAACCATAAGATGAAGGAAAAAGAAAGAGCAAAGATGATTACTGAAGTTGAAATTCTGTAGTAGTTTGCTTCTGCAAGATGTTTTCATATTGAAATTTCTTCTTGTTTTTCCATTAAGGGGACTTCAACATGGGGATAATTTTCAAGAGCTACATTTGCCTGAAGGGATATTGAATATACATTCAGATCCTGTTTTTTCATAGCCATTGAACAACAAACACCCATGTGCCATAGAGCCGACTCATCTCTGATAATAAAAATGCTGAATTGTCCAACTATCTCAAGCATCTTCACATAAGTCGTGTTAGAAAGTCTTACTGCATGTTAGGACATTTAAAATTTTAAAGTCTTATCTGGAGGGATTTCGTTGACTTCCAAAACTTAATCCTGAGCCTCTAAAAATCAGTTTCTTAATGTCACAGGGATTTATGATTATCTAAGGCTTCTGTACTAGTCTTTTACGATATAACTTTGTGGGGTGAAGAATGTTGTTTATCACTTTATTGTGTTTCTGTCTTGAATAATAACTGCGTAAAAAATGGCATTAAAATGTCAGATCAAGTATTGAAATTGGGAATCGATTGATTTTAGAGAAGCTACTTCTTAATTAGTCTATTTGTGGATAAAACATTATCCATCTTTTGAAGCCTTAAACCCAAACTAGTTGGGGTGATCAATTGCGAACATGAACAAGAGAATTTGTCAGTAGATGCATATGCTACTTCTCACTATGGTGAATTATTAAATATCATTTGAAGAACTTCATTTTCAGTCATATAATGTGTAGACTTCTTTCGTTTTTCTTGTGAGTTTTTAAAGATACATTCGTCAACTTTGGCATTTCACTTCTCCTTGCCCAGCATTAAACTGAACTGCATTTTTCTTTAGGAGATGATTGATCACCACATTAGTGAAGGCTAAACAATAACAACAATTAGCAGCTTTAAGTAGTTGTTTGAATTAAATCTTGCAATTCTTTTTGCCTGACATGTTTTTACTATCATGCTTTGCTAGGCGGTTATCAAAGCTTTCAATGTTGAAGCGTCGTGGAAAGGGACCACCCAAGAAGGGACAAGGAAGGGGTGCTGTGAAGCGTAACAAGGCGAAATGATGATTTTCTGTTCTTCAAATCAATTTGAGTGGGTTTTTTATTTTCTTTGAAGAGTACTTTCTGGTTTGGTTACAAATGTAGAACTTGTATGTTTGTACCATTTTTCTTGCTCCTGCCCACTTTTATGGGAAGAGTAATTTCTGTGCAAATGGACATACATTGGTGAGGTAAAACATTACTACCATCTAATGTTGTCTACAGAATTGCACACTTCGCTTGTCTTAAGTGACTGTCCAGTGCAAGTTCTAGAAAGCGGGATAGAGAATTTAGAAGTTCTAACTCTCCTTTAGCAGTTAAGCTAGTACATCTTCCTTGAGCTTATTTCAGGGCTCAGTTTACAGGGCAGAGAAATTAAATACTCCATCTTTCCTGAGTATTTCCCTCGTTTCTTTGTGATGGAAGACGTATTCTGACTTTTGAGTCGCATAAAGTTTCCGCAACTTTGGATAGTTAGAGCACAATAAAATTAATTTAGTGATCAGACTATTTCAATATTTAGGTGAATTACAAAAGCATTGGAGATAAAACAGGTGCAGCACCACTGTCGTCGTTAGCAATAACAGACCGAATCCAGGCGGTGCTGTTGAGAAAAAAGTAAAATTTTCACGGTATCATATTATGTTCGAGGATGTCTGCACGAAAGCAGTCCTTGTAAGAGAGGAATTTTGCTAATCACTGTACCGAGTGGCACAAAGAACAAAGATGGAGATGACGGGGATTCAAATAAAATTTTCCAGAAGTACAAAAAATTGAATGAGCTTGCTCCAAAATTAACTGAAATGATTAGTGCAACTGAGGAAAGTATTCTTCATTTTAACTGAAACACATGATAACTAAGTTTTCTGATAAAGACCACAAGAAGATTAACATTCCGGATTCCTGGTGCTCGTTCACAGGGGCTTGAGACCTGCTAATAGATGAGAATTTGGAGGGTGAGATTCTGACCTCTTATTGAGTGCTGTTACATGTCAAAGCTCTAGATGAGTTTCCTTCCAAAGGGGAATAGAAGTAAAACCCAAAAATTTGATTACAAACTGAAGTATCTGACAAGAAAAACTAAAGATTTTGTGTTTGATTTTTCTTCTCTATTTCACAATATTAACATTTTTATTGATACAATAAATTTTGGTTCAAATATCAATATCAGAGGTGGAGAATCAATGGGATTATCTCGTTATACATGTACAGTAATGTGGGAATATTTTGGCTCCTATAAGCTGCTTTAGGTCATCTTGTCACCAATAATCGCCACAAGAACAAGTTCCATCCTTGAAATGATGGAACCGCCTCGCATCTCTTAGGGTGATTTCCCTGTCTTCTATCTTTGAGATAAACTTAGAAGCAGTATGGCAGTCATTGCAAACTCTAAGGTTCTTGGCAACTCTAATAGTAGTTCCAGGAGGAGTGTTGAGTATGCCAAAAGCTATTGCCAGTTTCTCACTGTGTCCACAAAGCAAAGTTTCTTTCTCCTCCTCATCGATATCGTGAAGTACACAAGAAGTATCAGGCACATAGCCCTCCCTTTTCAACCTTTCTGATAAGGTCTGAAGAAAATCATGGAGTTTCTCACTTTGTGGGTGTGATAAATCCCCAGCCAAAAACTTATGCACCTCATCACCATACTCAATCCAACTGCAACCAGGTTCTTTCTTCAAACCCATTGCCTTCATCTTCCTCCTAAGATTCATTGCTTTATCCCAAATTCCAGCAGATGAGTATATATTAGAGAGTAGAACGTAGTGGCTAGCCACATCAGGTTGCAACTGAAAGAGATTTTCAGCTGCAATTTCCCCAATTTCAACGTTCTGGTGAATCCTACATGCTCCAAGCAAGCTACTCCATGCCCCAAGTTTGTCAAATCCAGAAGGCATGGTATTGACAAGTCCATATGCTTCCTCCACTTTACCTGCTCGACCAACCAAGTCCACAATGCATGCATAATGATCTGGTGCAGGTTCAATCCCATGTTCGTTTTTCATTTTATGAAACAAGCTCAGGCCCTCATCTACCATCCCTGAGTGACTACATGCGGCAAACAATGCTACGAAAGTAACTTCAGTAGGCTTTACTTCCCCACCCTTGGCTCCTTCTGCCACCATATCTTCAAACAGCTCCAATGCTTCCTTTCCTTTCCCATGCATCCCATAAGCCATGATAATTACATTCCAGGTTATCACATTTCTAATAGGCATCTGATCAAATACTCTTCTGGATAAATTTAAGCAGCCGCATTTTGCATACATGTCAACTAATGCACTTCCCACAGTGACTTCTGATGCCAACAAATTTCTAATGGCATAAGCATGGATTTCTTTCCCCTTTGCTAAAGCTGCTAGGGAAGCACAACCAGGAAGGACAGTCATCAGAGTTATCGAGTTAGGTTTGAAAGGAACTTGTTTTTCATAGTTGTAGTCACCATCGTGCTTGCACTTATCTTCTATTCTTTGCATTTCATGAAGCAGAAGCAGCGCATCATTAGAGCGGCCGCAAATAACATAACCAGTGATAATTGTATTCCAAGAAACTGTATCTCTAACCTCCATGCTATCAAATATTCCTTTTGAAATTTCTATCTTCCCCATCCTAGAGTACATATCCATTAGTGCATTTTGCACATATCTGTCTGTCTCCAAACCCCTCTTTATTACATATCCATGTATACCTTCTTTTCTTGAAATTCCTTCACAGCGCACATAAGCAGGTACAACACTTGACATTGTGGTTGCATTTGGATAAAGAACAGCAACAGCTTCCATTTCAATGAAGAGTTTTAATGCTTTCTCATCTTGCTCACTTTGTGCATAACCAGTAATCATAGCATTCCAAAGCCCAATTTTCCTGTCCAAGACACCATCAAAAACTTGACGACCACTTTCAACCTGTCCACAATTGCAATACATGTCAACTAATGCACTACCTACGAAAGAATTCTCGATCAAATCATCTGTTCTCAATGCATAAGCATGAATTTCTTTCCCAGTCCTTAACAACTCCAAGTGGGAGCAAGCAGGAAGAACACTCGCTAAAGTGACCCCATCGGGTTTAACTCGTTCAAGAACCATAAGCCGCAAGAACATTAACGCTTCCATAAACCGCTCATTTTGCGAAAATGAGCTTATCATGCTGTTCCAAGTAACCAAATCACGGTCTTCAAACAATAATAGTAAACTTTTTGCATCATCGAGTCTTCCTAGTTTAGCATACATAGCCATCAAAGCATTGTTTGAAAATGTTTTCCAATGACCCATTCTAAAACAACACCCATGAATTTGCTTGCCAAGCCACAAGCCCTCCCGTTTCCGCAAATTAGAACAAGCAAGTGCCATACTCACCAAAGTAAACGAACTAGGCTCCAATCCCTCTATCAACATCAATCTAAATGCCTTCATTGCAACCTCCCATTCTTCACACCGACACAAAGCAGAAATCATTGAATTCCAAGAAACTTGGTCTCTGTCAGTAATTCTATCAAACACCTTATACACATCACCTAAATCTCCACACTTACCATACATATTCACAAGGGTATTATCTACAGTCACAGACGAGAAAGACCCATACCCGAATTTGAAAACATGGGCATGAATCTGTTTCCCTAAATACAATTCCCGAATCCCTGCCACGGCCTTCAAGACTGCCGGGAAGGCAAAGTTGTCAGGCGAAACACCCGAACCAATCATTTCAATGTACGTAGAAATGGCTTCACGGAATTGATTAGAGCGCGTTTTGGAGCGAAGGGACTCAACCCATGAGGCTTGAGAGTGTGATATGGAAATTGGTTTTGGAGGAGAAGTGGAAATGAGAAGCTGAGGAGACTGTCTGTGAATTGGATTTGCGGGTTGCTGGTGGGAAGGAAGAGAGGGTGGACTGAAAGGAAGAGAGATTAGGGTAAGAGGGTGCTGAGTGTAGGTGGACATTTGGTAGTTATATCAGTTAAAGAAGAGCTTTGAGGTTTATCCAAGATTTTCTTACATGACAGAGGGGTGTCCTAACTGCTGAGGAAGGCGGACCTAAGCCAATCCCTCAGGTTTTGATTGCGACACGTGACAACATGGGAGTTGAATTTTTAATTCAGTCCCTATTCTTAACAATTTTTCATTTTAATCCTGGTTCAATGGTAGTATGGGAGTTGGGTTCATTTGCAGAAGAAAACTCTTCAGTCCACCATAACTAGACAGGCTTTAAATGGTTTTCTTTTAAATCACATTTTAATCCTGGTTCCTACACCTGCATTTTTCTCTGATAAGTAGGTATGACATTGATAGATTAAAAGTACATTTTCAAGTATTGGCAATAAATTTATATAAAAAAAAAAAGGACATAAAATAAATAAATGAAAAAGGAAACGTGCTAATTGAGCTTGCTGGGCTTTTCTTGATCTTATCTTCTTTTGACAGCAATTTTCTTTTTGATACAGAACATCTGTCCTTTGTCAACAACAGGTGGCATGTCTGTGTCAACTCCAAATTCAGTGAAGTTTCATAAATAACCTCACATGACATTGAATTATCACTAATATTCCGAAGTTCATGATAAATAATAATAATAATAATAATAATCTGGCATTTCTGAATTTCTAATGAAATCACTTTTAAATCAAGTAACACTCATTTGTTGGTCATCGAATTCAATAATGGATTTTACTAATTTAATAACTCGAGTGCATTTTTATTTTTTATTTTTTGTTTTTAATATCAGAACAATTGTTAGAGTTAACCACAACTTATTCCTTATCGTTTATTGAAATTAATTAATCAATCTCTCTGATATAAAAAATAATTAAACAATTCTTTGACCAATATTGACCATCTTGAATTTAGTTGTTTTTCTTTAATAAATCCCTTGTTTTCTAATCATATTTTCTCATCCTACTTACTTTTTTTCTTTATTCAATTTTTCAAAAAAAACAAATTAAAAAGACATTAAGAAAAATAAAGAAAAAATGGAAAAATATAATAAATATAATATTAAATATATAATTTATGAAACCATCAAATTAGTTGATTAAATTTTGTTAAACCAAAAGAATTATGTTATAATTAACTCTACTTGTTATTACGAGAGGAATTTCGGAATCTTAGTAGTAATCTTGTTCATAAAGGACCTATCTTAGATAAATAAAAATAAAATTTCCTCATAGAGGGACAAAAACACAGTAAATGAAAATGGACCCCCTTCTTCATTTTGGCAATTGCTATCTAGCGGACTTGAGTATTCCAAAAATAAAATAATAATAATAAATAAAAATCTCTATCGAATCCAGCCACCAAGACCAAAAAGTCTTCACACTTCAGTATAATGACGTAAATTACAAAATTAGTCCCCCTCTCGTTTGATGAATGAATTAACTGACTTTTTTGTTTTAAAAACTAATTAATTTCTATCTTTTTATCCGATCTGGTAAAGGGTATCTAAATTATTGTTTAATATATATTTTTATACATGAAAATATATTTTGGTGTCTGAAGAGATAGAAAGGGAGTAAAAATTAATAAAATAAGAATTAAAAATTTAGGAAAAAAATGTGAATTTCTTTTAGTATTTAGGAGAAATAAATAAAGAAAATGAGTGTGAAAAAAATAAATAATGCATAAAAAAGAAAAAAATATTGAGAATAAAAATAATACAATAAGGACATTTCATAATCATTGTAATAAAAATTAATGAAAAAATTAAATTATTAATAAAAATTTTTCGTTTTTTGAAACGAGGGTGACTGATTTACAATTCACTCTTATGTGATGTAATCTAATGTAAGAATTCAAAGACAAGATGTTGACCCCACCACATCTCAATTCTCACGGACACAACCTTAACAATCTTGAGTCAGAAGAGAATTTTATAATAATTAAGAAATAATTAATGTAAATTATTTCATAAAAAATAATATAAAAAAAGAAAAAAAATTAAAAATTTTTTTTTTGACCCCATCAAATCTTTTAATCATTTTAGGTATATATATATATATATATATATATATATATATATATATATATATATATATATATATATTTTTTCTTTAAAGTGAGCCATGTAATAATTTGACACTAGTGACTTCGTTTATTATTATATAATTTCTCGAGTTAGAGAAGGAGATCCAGAGAGAAGATGGAGGCAACTGCTAAAGTATCATCAATACTTATATACCCAGTGAAGTCATGCCGTGGAATTTCTGTTTTTCAGGCACCTCTTACTCCTACTGGTAAGTAATAACCCACCAATTCTTTGATTCTTTTATGGATTTTCTTTCACCCCACTTGATTTTCTTGTCATCTCTTAATTTCTAGTATCCCTTTATCAGTTTCTTGTATTAAATCACCATTTTGAAAGAAATGGGAAATCTGAGAGGAGGCTACGTCATTTTTAATGGTTCTTGAGCTTATCACTATCGAAGTTTGGTAAATTGTATCTGTGCTTTTTGGTAATGTTAGTTATTTTCCTTGGAAGTCACTAATTTGAAGTTACCTGAAAAATTTTGTTGATAGTGAGAACCAGCAGAAATAACAATATTGAAATGAATTGGATTTTTTTTTTTTTGTTGGTATGCACATAATTAATTGATGTTTTTGCTAATTGTTGTACTGAATGATGTTGTGATAAATGGACAGCATACCAATAAACTTCTTGATATTTTATATGTTCCGTCTTATGTTTTGTGGTTGGACCTGTGAACATAATTTTGATATTTTTTAGGTTATGGTTATTTGCTGTGTTTCCATATGCAGGGTTTCGGTGGGATCGGAACTGGCTGGTTGTGAACTACAAAGGAAGGGCATATACCCAAAGAGTTGAACCAAAGCTTGCTTTAGTTGAGATAGAGCTGCCGAATGAGGCATTTTCGGAGGGCTGGGAACCTACTAAGAGCTCATTTATGAGTAAAATCACTGTTCCATGTTATCTTTGCATCTCATAAATTTTACATCTGCTATTAAGCAGAAAAAAAGAAGAAGATCTTTACTAGTTTCATTCTTTAAGATCTTATAAGAATTCTAACCTCTGGTTGCAGTTTTGGCTTACATCCAGGTTTTCCTACCGCTATAGGTCCCTTAGTAAAGTACTATTTTCTGCACAATTTATTTCTGCAAAACGCTTTTCTAATATTTTATGGAGTTATACTGATAAAGATTTTATTTATTACAATCATCTATAGGGTTCCACTAATATCATTTCATTTGTTCATATAAGATTTGCTTTCTCTTTCATTTCTCATCTCTCTTGTTGTCAAAGGAACCCTACGAAAGTAGTCTCCTCATCTCTTTCCCAAAAATAGATTTTATGTTTTTCGCAATTTCACTGAACAAGAAAGAATTGTTCATATAGAATGAAATTAAACGGGGAAAGAAGTTAACCATAGTTAAATTTGAATGAACTTCAATGGTCTTCCTTAGGATTGGGTTTTGGTTAGGACAGCTTTGTTTACTTAATAGGTTTATGAAAAGAGTGAGCTACAAAATTTCTAAAATTTCGAGTTCATACATATCAATACTGTTATGTTGTCATGGTTCTCAGGTTTTCATCTTTTTAAGGATCATGAAGTTTTTCATCTATTATGTTGGACGTTTTAGCTTTTTTTTTTTTTTTTTTCATGTCACCTGGCAAGTCAAAGAAATTCTGGTTGTCATTGGCAATGCCTTTAGTTTTTCACGAATGACATACACAAGATACCTCCTGACTTCTGCAACTTAGTTTGTTATTATGACAATATGAAAGTTTTTTTATTTTTTTCAGGTGAGTTTCAATGTAATTATGACCCTATATTTTTCGCTTCAATGTAAGTATGACCCAATATTGTTCACTTTCTTTTACAGCAATAAAGGCTCCTCAGATGAGTGTTCTTAAGATATCTCTGATGAAGCCAAGTGAAGTAGCGGAGGGTGTCTCGGTATGGGAGTGGTCTGGCTCTGCATTGGATGAGGGAGCGGAAGCAGCAAAATGGTTCTCAGATTACTTGGGGAAACCCAGTCGCCTTGTGCGTTTTAATGCAGGTTAGAATTGATTTTGGTGCATTCAGGATACTAGGACATCAAATGAACTAATTATCTGAATTACTCAAATTCGTAGAGTTCCTTATTAGGACCTTATTGCAACAAAAGCATCTGAATAGTATTGAAGATTGGACATAGGCACAACCTATATTTTGGCATCTCAAATTTTGTGTAGTGTTTTTATTTGTGAGCTTAAGTTTAATAGTGAATCTCTTTGCCAAAGTTTTTATTATTTTCTTACCATTTCTTTTTACTGCTGCAGCATCAGAAACAAGGCTCGTAGATCCTAATTATGCTCCCGGACACAAAACTATGTTTGCTGACCTCTTTCCATTCATGCTTATCTCTCAGGTCAGTTGACTTGAGAAATAAAGCTTAATTTCTTTGGTTTTATCAGAAATCTCAGATTGAAATCCTCTAAATGTATCTTCTGCAGGGATCTTTGGATACACTGAATCAGTTTCTCAAGGAGCCAGTTCCTATTAACCGTTTTAGACCAAAGTATCTACACAGACCCATGCCTATTTATTTTAGTTAAAGCTTCCATTTTCCCTTCTTACAATAACATCTTCTTGGCAGTGCATTACTTTCTTTACATCCAATGCTGCATTTTGTCACTGTTGAATTTTGATCACACTGCGTTTTCAAATCTCTTAGATTGTTTTCTTGCATGTCACAGCATCCTTGTTGAAGGCTGTGAACCATTTTCTGAGGACTTGTGGACAGAAATTAGGATAAACAAGTTCACATTTGAAGGGGTCAGGCTATGTTCCCGCTGTAAGGTACAAACTATCTTTTCGGCAATATAGCTACATATAATGTCACTAGATGTCATTAATCTTTGCAGATAATGATGATATAATTATAAGTCAGCATTTTTTTTTTTCAATCTTTATCTGCTGTCCTTGTTTAACCATGGGTAAGAACTGTGATAAGTGTTTTTCAAGGCAAGTATTTTACCCTTGGCCCAGCAAGTAAAAAAATATGACAGGTTATGGTATAAAATGAGGAACATTATAGCTCACAGTTCGGTTGAAGATTGTTAAAGCAGATAGATCATATTTAGTGGTGAAGAACCAGTTGAAAGTCCTGTCTGTGGAACTTGTGGTCTTCAAGTAATTATTTCTCGTTTTGAGCAGATCAAGTCATTATTGAGACATGAATCTGAAATAATTTTCCATTTACCTTTTGTTTTGGAGTGGTCAGTAAAATACACGAGATAAAAAGGGTTTCACAATGTTCCAAGTTCTTATCCTATTTCTGTGTCCTAATGTATTTTATATTGCCATGACTTGTGAAGCATGCTCACTAGATAAAATATTTGGAAAGTTCCAATGGATATTAGCTCGGATTTTCAATTAAGACTGCTTTTGACATTTCTTTTAGTTCTTACTTTTGCTTTACTATTAGTTATTAAATTGCATCATTTGTTTCAATGTTTCATATGCTTGGCTGTAATATATGTTCCTATATTTACAAACACACCTTTTTTCTCTCGCAGGTACCTACAATTAATCAAGATACTGGGATTGCAGGGACTGAGCCAAATGAAACTCTAAGGAAAATCCGATCAGATAAAGTGTTGCGTCTGGATAAGAAGCAGCAGGGAAAGGTTAGAATGAGAATATGAGATCCGAAAGTTTTTTATCTTTTTCTTCTTTGCAGATGCAACTGATAAAGTACCTATCAAGTTCCTTATCGTGTCAATTTCCAATTCTTGGTTTTATGTGCCATGTTACTGCAGATCTATTTTGGACAGAACTTAGTTTGGAAGGACAGCCTTACTGAAGGGCATGGGAAGATTGTTAATGTGGGAGATCCTGTTTTTGTTCTCAAGAAGGTTTCCTCCGCAGCTGAAGCGGCAGCCTGAACTTTAAACAATATATAAACCAGTATAATTAGGGAGTTGCGAAGAAGTTGTGTTATGCATGGTAATAAAATGACCAGACAATTCTGAAAATGATAATCTAAAGCTGAGGCTTTGGTTTATCCTGATTTGTGTATACTCAGAGGTGAACATTAATACAAGGAACTCGATGCTCAACCAATAATCAATGTTTTTATTTATTTTTTCACTTACAGGAAAATTAGATGTAACTAGTAATACGGTCGAGGTGACTCCCATCGGTAATCCGATTAGGTTCTGGTGGAATTTGTGAGCAAATTTGCCCATCTCCCTCCTGTTTCGTGGCACCTTTCTTCAAGTGTTGTACAAGGCAAGAAAAAACCTTATGAATAGGTATTGCAAATCAAGTGGATGCTGTAACCTCACCTTAGAGGTTCATAATCCAGAGACTGATAATGAATCAAGAATGAAGGGGTTTAGCAATCATAAGGTGAACCAATCTCTCTTTGATAGATGGCTTTTTATAGGATAAAATCACGAAAATTTCGTCACAGTAATATCAGAAGCAACGAACTAACAGATATAGAAATCTTTCATGAAATAAAATTTTGTTGCTTTTTTTTTTTAAAAAAAAGAATCAGTGTAGAACATCAAAGGAATTTAAATTTGACAAAAAGAAAAGTGGAAGAATGATGGTATGCAAATTAATAAAGTTTGCTACAATCTCTACAAATTATTGGATGTTTAGCCACCGGGTTTAAATCATGGATCAGGTTAGAAAGTAAAACTCTCATAAATTACGCGGATGATATGTTTTTGGCTAGATGAAAGAGATAAATTTAGTCTTAGTATGTTTCATTTAGTATTTTAATACTTATTACGAATGCGAATCTTAAAGGATGCTGTGAAAAAGTAATTTTTTTTTTTTGTTGAATGTTCTACTTATTGATATGCTTAAACCTCAAAACCCTGCTATGAATGAAACTCCCTCCAACTGCTTCTAACAAGTTTGTTGCATTCTGACTTGAGCCATATGAGGTTACAAGACACAGCAGAGGTTTCTATGTTACCAACGTTATGTCGGTTACATGTACAAACGACTTGTCATTTTCGTTTGGAGAGAAGCATACATAGAGAAAAACAGCATTGTAGCAAGAAGAGAATTCTCCCTCCCACTCACTCTCTCTCTCTCTCTCCTAAAACCCTCAAAAAACCGATCTTGCAATTTTTCTAAATCTTTCATTCATTCAGCAAATTCAAGCTCCACAAAATTTACAAACCTGTAAACCAAAACACCCAGAAATCAAACCCTCCTTTTCAACTCCATGCCCAAATGCCCACTATTTAACACCACCTCCGTCCTCAAGGCCCCCAATAACAACTTGTACTCAATCCCAAGTAAGTTCCTTTTTCATTCTATGCACTCTAACTTTTCAGCTCTTGCAATTCCAGCAACCAAAGCTATTGAAACTGAACTCCAGAACCACACACAACACTGTAACACCACTGACCATGAAAATGGCAATGAACCTGACCCCCCAATATCTGATAAGATATTCAAGTCTGGCCCCAAAATGGGTTCTTACAAGTTGGGCGATTCAACTTTTTATTCACTCATTAACAACTATGCAAATTTGGGTGATTTTAAGTCATTGGAGACGGTTTTGGATCGAGTGAGGTGCGAAAAGAGAGTGGTTATTGAGAAATGTTTCATTGATATCTTTAAGGCTTATGGGAAGGCTCATTTACCTGAAAAAGCTGTTGATTTGTTTGATAGAATGGCTTATGAATTTGAGTGTAAAAGAACTATAAAGTCGTTTAATTCGGTTCTGAATGTGATTATACAAGAGGGTTTGTTTTATCGTGCTTTAGAGTTTTATAATCATGTTATTGGTGCCAAAGGTGTCAATATATCCCCTAATGTACTTACTTTTAATTTGGTTATTAAGGCTATGTGTAAGGTGGGATTGGTTGATGATGCGATTCAGGTGTTTAGAGACATGCCAGTTAGGAAATGTGAGCCTGACGTCTACACTTTTTGTACATTGATGGATGGACTGTGCAGGGCGGATAGGATTGATGAGGCAGTTTTGCTGTTGGATGAGATGCAAATTGATGGTTGTGTTCCTAGTCCTGTTACATTCAATGTGTTAATCAATGGTTTGTGTAAGAAGGGTGATTTAGCACGGGCTGCAAAGCTTGTAGACAATATGTTTCTTAAAGGATGTGTTCCTAATGAAGTAACTTATAACACACTCATTCATGGTTTGTGTCTGAAAGGTAAGCTGGAAAAGGCAATTAGTCTTTTGGATCGGATGGTATTGAGTAAATGTGTGCCTACTGTGGTAACATATGGGACAATTATTAATGGACTTGTTAAGCAAGGAAGAGCTCTTGATGGAGCTCATGTATTAGCTTCGATGGAGGAAAGAGGGTATTTTGTTAATGAGTATGTTTACTCAACACTGATTAGTGGGTTGTTTAAGGAGGGGAAATCTCAAGAGGCAATGCAATTGTTCAAGGAGATGACAGTAAAAGGATGTGAGCTCAATACTATTGTATATAGTGCTGTTATTGATGGTTTATGCCGAGATGGAAAGCCAGATGAAGCAGTGGAAGTTCTTTCTGAGATGACTAACAAGGGTTGCACGCCTAATGCTTACACTTATAGTTCGCTGCTGAAGGGATTCTTTGAGACGGGTAATTGCCATAAAGCCATTGAAGTGTGGAAAGACATGGCGAAGCATAATTGTACTCAGAATGAGGTTTGTTACAGTGTACTCATTCATGGGTTATGCAAGGATGGGAAAGTCAAGGAGGCTATGATGACGTGGGCACAGATGTTGGGCAAGGGATGTAAGCCTGATGTTGTGGCTTACAGTTCAATGATTAATGGCCTTTCCAATGCTGGCTTAGTAGAAGACGCTTTGCAACTTTATAATGAGATGCTTTGGCAGGAACCTGATTCTCAACCAGATGTGGTCACGTATAACATACTTTTGAATGCTTTGTGCAAGCAGAATAGCATCTCTCGTGCCATTGATCTTTTAAATAGCATGTTGGATCGGGAATGTGATCCTGACTTGGTTACATGCACCATATTCTTGAGAACGTTGAGAGAGAAGCTGGACCCTCCTCAGGATGGGAGGGAGTTTCTAGACGAGCTTGTGGTTCGTCTTTTAAAGCGACAGCGTGTTTTAGGTGCTTCTAAAATTGTAGAAGTGATGCTGCAAAAGCTTTTGCCACCAAAGCCCTCTACTTGGGCAAGAGTTGTTGAAGATCTTTGTAAACCTAAGAAGGTTCAAGCAGCCATTCAGAATTGTTGGAGCATCCTATATTACTGATTCATTGGGTATGTATATGTTTAGCATATTACTGCTATCGTACTTGAACTTGAATTGAATATTATTATCACTTTTTATTTTATTTTTTTAATTTGGCTTTCAAACCATAGTTATTCTAATTTCTGATTGTAGTTTTACAATGTATGCATCTGCATGCATTTGTGTGAGCATGCAGAATGCATGATCATTCATGTGCATATAATTGTATGCCACAACTAACCTGTTTTCTTGCAAACAGGGTTCTCTGTGACGTTGTTGTGAAGCTCACATGATCATAATGTCACTTAAGCCTTTAGCTTATAGAGAATAGACTTTTGTCTCAATTATACGGAGTGTGTGACCAGGACAGATGTTGGTGAACTCAAATCTTGAAACAAACTGTTGGAGAAGTTAAGTACATTGTGTTTGAGGTATCTAACTGTTAAGTACATTGTGTTTGAGGTATCTAACTTGTCCTTCTCTTCAAACATGCTTATATTTATGTTTTCTTTTTGTTTTTGTTTTTCTAGTAAGTGCTTTTGGTTCTTGTCTATTCTCATAATTTACAAGTCGGTCTATTGAGAGGGAAAATGCATCCTTCAAAGAAAAGGAAAGAAAAATCAAGATAATAAATTTCGGCTAGGAAACACCACTGTAAGTTCCTAAAAGCAGTACCCTGAATAGAGGCCAAAACATCTTATCTCATTGTTATTTCCCTCAAAAAAAAAAAAAAAAAAAAAAAAGAATAAATCCATAAAAAAATTCCTGAGCACTGCTCCAACCACATCTGGCAAAGAACTTCAAACAGAGCATATCTCTACGGGGGCTTATGATAGTTCTTTGTCCCAAAATCTGGAAAAGACATTACCAAAAGATCTTATTCTTGATCAGAGATCACCATCTTCCCTTGCAAACTGAGGAAAGATATGCTACATATCTCAAGCATTTGGACAGTGCAAGAAAGAATTTCTGACTCTGTCCATTATTATTGGTGCATAACACACATATTAGGAGAAATTACGTTATTTGGCCTCCTTCATGCAGATATCATTGGTGTATTAGTTCTATGGTCTGCATCATCCAAATGAAGGCCTTGACTTTAGATAAAAGTTCGGTTTTCCAGACACAAAAACAAAGGCAGGCTGAGCCAACAAAAGAATTGCCAGAATATTACCAAGTTCAAACTCTGCTCTAAGGTCTTCAAAGGAAAAAAAAAAAAAAAAAAAAGAAAAACAGAAAAGGAACATTAGTTGAGGAGTGTGATGCAGCTGTATCTTGCATATAAACTGCTGTATCTTGCATATAATTAGGGTTTTTCTTTTAATAGTTCATTTACCTATTATTTATCGTGTTAGTTTGGACATCTAGGATTTAGTTATTAAGGGCTAGGATTTCTTTTACTTAGGGTTTTGCCACAATTTAAGAGCTGCTGCTACTATAATAAGAAACAACTTTGATATTTTGATAATTTTATAAAGAGTTTGTTCTCTTTTTGTGGTGTTGGCTGCGTTAGCTATCTTTAGCTATCTTTTGCCTTTCCTCCCTATGTTAGGGTGGAAGCAACAAAATGAAATCCTATAACATGAGTTGAGGAGTAGAAGCCAACAAATTAAATCCTATATTTTCCTCCCATTTGGGTGTTCAGAAACTGGCGGCCCCCATAATAGAGAAAAAGTGGCAACAACGAAACTACAGCGGCCATAAAGATGGGGAAACACAATGGAGAAAGAATACATCCTTATCCACAGTTTGTTCTATAAGATAGTATCGAAACAGCTATATTTTATTAGAGGAAATTGTTGTAAGGATACCTGTGAATGGACTTAGAGTACTCTAGTTGGGCATTTGAACTACTTGATTGGAGACCAGACTTAAAGTTAATTACGGTCCCTTTTAGCTGCAAAAATCTGTTTTTTTCCTATAAAAGAACCTCAGTAAACCTTCTAACTGACAAAAAGGTTTCTATAATTTTGGTTTGCTCTGAAACATTAAATGTTCAGCATAATCTTTCATCTGACTGGCTACTATTACCATAATCTTAAACAAGGGCAAATAGTAATGACCCATGAGGGTGGGCCACCCCAAAAGAGAAAAATACTCTTTTCTGCCGGTTGTTTCTGTAGCTTATAGAATATTAATATGACATAGATTTTCTTTGCAAAGGTTTGTGTGCTTAGTTTAAAAGCCTCCATTGGATTTGAACATCATATGTTTTCTTGATGAGTGACATATGGCTGAAGCTTGGTTTTAAATCAAGAGCTCTTTGGAAGCGTATGAATATTTTAATTTTGGAGATGGATAATCACTGGAGACAGGTTGTGGGTTTGAAGTGCTGAGAGAACTGGATGAATGTTTTAAAGTGGTGGTATTATGGTTTCTCCAGCAAACATTTAATAAAGACATTCTTAGTTGCTAATATGTACCCAAATTTTATGGATTTAGATATTGAAGTTAGGGCTTTCTCCAGCATAAGGAGACCATAGTTCATGATGGGTTGTTGGGTGCTTTATGCGAGTGCACTGAATATAATGTTAACCAATCTTTTCTGTTTGGCTTTATTCCAGAGGAGGAGCAGTCTCTTGTGTTCTTGAACTTTTGGGACTGTTTCGGTGATGCTTAGGGTGGTGCTTGAGTTGCTGATAAATAGCTGCAATAGAAGATTTGGGGGGACAAATTAGTCATAAGATGTGGGAAATCTTGTGGTGGTAGATTGGAAGTATGGCTTTCTCAAGGGCCCAGAGCTTCCTTTTCATAGGATTGAATCCCCATTCTTGGGATCTTTTTCTCCAGCATTGGAGGCTTTTCCCTGAACGTACATTTCCAGAAGTTGCGGAGCTTTCGGAAGCTATTTTTATTTCTTTTCCTTACTTTGTTCTCATCATTTTGTGGTTTTACATACTTTCTTTGGATCTCTTGTCTGTACTTCCAGATGTTGGCTATTTGCTCTCACTTCTGTTTTTTTATATGCTCAACATGAGAAATATGGGTTTTCCAATTTTATTTTTGTGTGCCTTTTGATAACTCTTTGTGGACATGCTCAAGAGTGATTCATCTTCTTTTTCTTTCTTTTCTCCCCCCATAGTTACCTGCTCCTCTCTTATGTAATGCCCTTAAGCTGGTTAGTTTTCTTTTGCTTTTATTTATTTCATGCCCATCGTCAAAGGAAAATAAGGCTTCTTCAATGACAGTTTTTACCCTAGTGCCCTTTTAACAATTGTACATGGAATATGCTTCAGTGAGAAATCTGCGCTTTCCATTTGCATTCTTGTGTTTAGTTTGGTTACTTAGAATACTGAATAGAAAAGCCTGAAAACAAGATTTCCAATCTTTTGTTAGCGGCTAGAAATATGAAATCTAAGACATTACAAGACAAAAGGCACAGGGAAATTTTTAGGAGTATACATGATTTGCAAGCTATGTTGCTGCTTCTTATCTTGAAAGCTGATAAATTAATATATTGTTTGTTGTCTTTGATGAGCTAAAGACATCATAGTTTTAAATCGTGGTTGCAGGATTGAGACTTCACACATGTTAAATAATGGCTGTGGCTTTGGTTGTCGTGAATCATTTGTAATTCTTAATAATATATATATATATATATATATATATATATATATATATATATATATATATATATATTTGCAATGCATTCTTCTTTAATAATTTCACCAAATATATACAATGACAACACTTCTAGTGGCTAAATATCATCTAAGCAATACATTACAACTGTCAAACAGTGAAGAAGTGTGAAACCATGAACTTGAAATGCGAAAAATTATCTTAGTGTTTAGTAAGTAGACTGTTATTGGCTGTTATTGACCCATTAGTTTCACAATAACGGCCAATAATGGCAGTTACCCTTTATATGTGGACGTTGTAACCGTTTTTGTTGTGAATTGCCATAAACAGATCTATAATGCTAAATAACGGTAATGGGGTTCTCTGTTTCCATATGGCTATTGTTTAAAACCATGCAAGATGCAGCAAGTATGCCTGTTATTGTGCAGGTTAAGTCTGAAATAATTTTGCATAGACGATGCTCTGCTCTGTTATTCTTATCTTATTCAAAATAAACATGATCAATGTACTAGTTTCGACCACCACTGATTTTTCCTCACACTAGAACAGTTAAAACATATTGTGCATTTGTGCATTGAAAGTAATCTGATATATTCTTTGGATTACTGGTTTAGAAAGTAGCATCTTATTCACAGCAAACATGATTCATGCATGAATTTCACTATATACTGACTTTTGATTTCATTAAACTGCGAAGTAGTACATCTTTTGGTTATGCTTGGAAACAAGCAGATAGTGCTTTAGATACTAATATCAGGATGCATAATAATTTGGTTTGGTAACTTAAGGATGAAGAAAATAATGTTAAGGTCCTTCTTTTCTTCCAATCATATCTTCATTATTAACTGCCATCGATTCTCCCTTGCTATGCAGATGCGCCATATCATAAGTTGCATGCAGACCAAAGAAGACATAGTAAATGAGCATTACCACTGTGCAAATACCAAATCTTTCAAAAGCCTCGGCACCCAAAGATCCCATTAGAAAGATGTTTATTGCAATTGACAAGGATGGAAGCCATGGAACAAGTGGAACGCCCCAAACCTTTGGCTTTCTCTGTTGAGGTAACATCGTGGATAATCCAATAGTCCCCAAGAACCAAAAAGGAATGGTTAAAGCATATCCAACCCAACCATTGGGATTCAGTCCCCAGTAAGCTGCAGTCCCCATGGACGAAGCAATAATGATTAGCAGGAAGAAGACCAGCTTCAAGAGGTTTATTCGTGGTGTGATTTCTCTGACATAGTATCTCCTCACAAGCAATGCAACAGCCATCATCATGAAGATAAACAGGGTGCTTACTGACAACAAACTTGCCAAGACATCCAGGCTTGAGAAAAAAGCAATGAAAGCACTTGAAATGGTGATCAGAAGTGTTGCATTTATTGGTGTTCCAGTCTTAGGATGGACCAGAGCAAACCATGGGGGGATCATGTGGGCTCGTGCGATATGAGTAGTATACCGTGCTTGTCCAAGCGCCCCTACCAGAAGAACGGTGGTCATCCCTTTGAGGGCCCCAAGTGCTACCAGGTATTTTGCCCAGTTCATTCCTACACTCTGAAATGCAACAGAGTAAGCTGCCTCTGGGTTGATCTCTGTGAACTTTTGCATCATACTTAGTGTAAGTGCCATTAAGCAGTATATCACGGTAATGATTGACATTGATCCAAGCAATCCTATTGGTATGTCTCTTGATGGGTTTTTGGTTTCTTCTGCCATGGTGGCTATATTGTCAAAGCCTCCATAAGCAAAGTAAACTATTGCAGCTGCTTGGAAGATCCCTTTCGCCCCAGAAGGCAAAAATGGTTTGAGATTTGATGTATTGGCATGAGCAAGCCCTGCAATTATGACAAACAAAATTACAGCAGTATTGAGTGCTGTTGCTATCCAGTTGAGCAGTGAAGTTTTCCTTGTGCTGGTAATTGCAATTGTTGCAGCAATCACCAAAACTCCAACAGCAATTGGATCCAGGAGATTGAAACCTTCTTTTAGATTCGTATGGATGCGTAAAGAGTTGGAAGGACGATCCAGTAGACTCGTGAAGTAAGAAGTCCATGACCTGGCTACCGCTGCGCTGCCGACAATGCTTTCAAGCAGTATGTTCCCTGCAGTTATGAAGGCTGCAAAGTCACCTAATTCAATTCTCAAGTAAGCAAATGACCCACCTGCTACAGGGATTTCAACCGCAAATTCGGTGTAACAGAATACAGAGAGCATTGCTGAAACTCCAGAAGCAACATAGGACAAGACGATGGCAGGTCCAGCATGATCATGGGCTTCCTGGCCAGTAAGCACAAAGATGCCAGCACCAACGACTGAACCAAATCCAAACCAAGTAAGGTCCCACCAAGTGAGGCAACGTTTCATCTCATTCTCACTCTGTTTCCGAAGCTCCCCAACCTCATTGGCATCATCTGAGCGGCTGATGAGACGGTCCTTAAACCGGATATATGTCTGCCGCAATGCAGAACGGTAGTTCCCCCAGCTTTGGAAGGATTCTTCTGGTAAGAAATCTTGTTTGCTAAATCTCCAGTAACTTTTTGGTTGAATCTCATCACTGATTTCTCCAATGGAACCCATTACTAATATCTGTGTTCGGTGGCACTTTGTGGAGTAAACCACAACTGCTATAAAGCTTTAGCCTCTAGGGAGACTGTTATTCTGTAGTATTTAAGTGAACTTGTTGTGTATGGATTCTACCCTCCTCAAGGCAGACTGTTATTCTATAGTTATTTAAGCGAACTTGTTGTGTATGGATTCTACCCTTAATTATCGGTCATGTAATCTATGATTGTGAAACGCTTGTACGGCAGCTGACTTGGTGAGGATGCAAACAAAAGATAAAGACTTTGTTTTTTCTATTCTAGGTGGCTCTTGGTTTTGGGCGTTCATTACTAAGAATTGCTTGGCATGATGTGCCACTAACTAAAGCCCATATTTGTTGTAGAATGGCTACTTGGTTTGTTATTAAATGTGAAGATTCTATCTCTTCCCTGAAACCTATACGCATTTTATGTGCATGAAAAAAGTTTCAAGGAAATTCGTTTTTGCCTCACAGGCATGGGAATTATAAAATATGATATTTTCCTGGACGGAGATGACGATAAACCCATACATTACGTTTGTGCTTGACTTTAAGTCAACCGAAATAGCTAATTACTATGATTATAGTGACAAAAAAACATAAAGCATGCAAAATAAAATAAAAGCTCAGCTAATAATGGCTAAAGACTTTTTGTAGCATGATTTGGGTCTTATAGTTGTCCCAGATAACGGCTGGAAAAATCAACCAACATTTTAACTCTTAATGTGAAATAAAGGTCATAATTGCATCTTATCATCCTTAAAGGTAATGGTGATGGTTTGAATGCAAATCTTATTGGCCGACTCGATGAATGAAGCATTTGTTTCCATTGGAAAATGTCACCTCAGCTGAGCCTGAGATGATCCTTTCGTCAATTGGATTGAACATTCATATCATTCATGTGGCGTCTGATTATTGTAAGAAAAACTTAAAAATTATGAGGGGTTTACGATTCAAAATTACTATTCATGTACATCCATTTTCATTATTCACTCTCTTAACCCTTCGATCATTCATCATCATTTCTGGCTATATGTTCACCTTAAATTCACTGCAATTATATTCAAATTATTACATTTTGGTCCTTCAATGTTTCCACAATTATTTTTTAATCCACATCTTCACTTTTCACAATTATTATTATTATTATTATTATTCAGAATACATTTTATTAGTGGGTTATTAATTTATGATACATTTTTATATAAATGGGTTTTGAAAAAAAAAAAAATTAGAGCATGACTATTTTATCTTTTTTTTTAAGTGTATTATTATCATGGATTCTTATAATTTTTAAATAAAAGTAGCGTAGTTGGATATATATATATATATATATCTTCACACATAACAATAATTATTTTTTATTTTTTATTTTTCATATTCTAAAATCAATTTTTCTCACATAAAATAAGTTAAATAATATTTTGAAAGAACTGTCTAATTATTCAAATATAGTTTTTTATGCTAATATATATATATATCAAATTTACATATTTAAAAAAAAATCTTTCCATAAACATTAAATAAGGATATAAAAATATTTGTTAATTTTTATACGACTTTTTATATCAATTATTGCTTTATTATTATTATTATTTTTGAGGTAATCTTATGAAAAAATTGTTAAAGCATTTTTTTTTAACTTTTATACTAAATTTTTAATTTATATTATTGTAATTTTTTTTTAACAATAAATACATAAAAAAGAAAAATTAAAGTATTTTTTTTAAAAATATAAAATTTAAGAAAAATATATAAAATTAAATAATTTTATCTTTTCACTCTGACTCAGAGTGTAGCGTAAGCAACCTCACAGCATAGCATAAGCAACCGACTCGTTACTTACTAGTATGAAACGAAAACTCAAGCTCTGCCACTTTTGGCCTGTGCTGGAGAAGGGACAATTTTGCGTGCTTGAAATTGCTAACAATCTAGATGATGACAATTCAATAGTTTGCCCAAAATAAGTTTCGTGGATGCCAAATTTTTATGGGTTTCCATATCCTATCCAGTATTAGAAAATGATGAAGGGGTGTCTGAAAATCAGCATTCTAGGGGCCCACTGCGTAATTCAAAAGGAAGCTGGCTGTCACTGCGACTTCAAGAATGATTCGTCCCATCACCCAATGAATCTTTTTCTCCGCTACAGAAGCATTCGAAGACTAATTTTCCAAGTTGCTCTGTTCTTTTAATGCTTTGTCTAGATTAAGGCTGGCAGAAATGACCGGTAGAAATATAGCCATGAAGTGGTAGGTTTCCAACCCTACCCTCGAGACCAACTGCGATAAAGATTCCAATTGCAAAGCATCAGAGAAGGAAACAAACAAAATGGTCAAAACTATCACATGTTCTAAATGCTATAATGATAAAGAAGGCGAGAACAAGTCAATGCAAAACTTCTCTCTCCAAGAAAAAAGAAATTCAATAATAAGTATAGTTAGGAAACAATAAAATGTGTAGTTGGGAATAATAAAATGCTCTTCGACAAAAGTTTGAAATAGATCAGCGGTATAAAACTTGCTCTTCTAGCTATCAAGTATCTACCCTCAATCTCCTCTACGGATGATCATATTGTTTATATGAGAACCATCCTACTCAGAATAAAAGTATAAATGTGTAAGCTTTCTACTCATCTGCTGCTTAAGTTAGCGGCCATTCAGGTACCTTGGGAGTTCCGACACAACTGGGGTTCCTCCTTATGCAAATACAACTAATCTGGTTTAACTGTTTCGAAGTATGTACAAAAATTGGGAAAACAAGAGGAAGGAAATAAGGGAGAAAATGGGCTCCATCATTTCCAAGATTTCGAAGCCTTGCGTACTTTACTAGCAAGATATCTAGTAGCATTAATACCACCAGTAGCCAGGAAACCAGAGACGGCCTGCCTCGCGCTTGAAACCATGACAGTACGCCTGAGAACCTTCTGCATGCACCTGGCAGCCTCTTCTCTTGAACCAATCACGAGATCATGCAAAACTTGACCTGCAAATTTTATGTCAACATTATTAAAATTATCTAGTTCCCTTGTGGTTAAATGGGGAATTTTGCGAGTCACTTAGAAACAATTAGTGGCACGAGGCTTGGGCCAAGATGTTTAAATCATCTTTGCGTATGGTAATAGTAGTACGGAATTTGACTATCACTCAGTTTATTTCTGTTCTCTGAAAATCGAGAGATAAACAATTTGCATCATAGATTAAGTACCATTCAGTTTATCAAAACCCCATACAAATAGAAAATCGTACCAGAATTATTCAGCACTTTCTTCTCTCCTAGCTTTATCCCCATCTTTCTTCTAACAAGGGGAGGAAGAGAATGAAGAAGGGAATGAGTCATTGACAAACTGCAGTCCTGATTTTGAGAGATTGAATGCATAATAATTTCAAAATGGTGCTGAAAGATGACCATGTTAAAACACACATATACATGAATCCATAAATAATACTGCTGCCAACTTACAAATGTCCGACTTGAGGACTACAGCTTTTAGCTTACAACTAAGGATCTATTGAAAGCTTACAAATATCAATTGACATAGTAATCAATCCAAACACGTGTTAATCAGCAGTTAGGGTATCATAACGAAACATATATCTGGGCCTTAGTTCAGTAAAAGCAGCTTAAATATCTGAAGTGTGCTAAAAGTTACAAGTGTACGTAAGTCAACTGTAAGAAAACACTAAAAATATTACCCTACCACTTCCAAAAAATGCTCTGCATTATAAATAAAGGCCAATGATAACAAGTGCTGCCCCTCATTAAGGTGCATTAAGTGTGCATTGCAAATAAAATGAGCATAAATAATGCTTCAAAAATGCAAAAAAAGTACACTCGAAGTTCAAGAGTTTTTTTAGATCATAGAAGTTCATAAAATTTTAAAACTTCATGCCAAAGGATTGACAATGATTGAAATTGAAAATCCCAAGAGTGTATTAAATTTTAATTTCCCTACGTTCCTTAGTATGCGACCTTGGTTCTCAAAAAAGAAAAAGGAAAAAAAGAGCCTTTCAGCCCTTGTTAGCTGGATGCACTATGGCCAAAGAGTTTGTCATATAGATTCTGTGGGTGGTTAGCAGCAAGAAGATGTATGATTGAATGGCTATTACACTGTCAGCTCTCAAGAAAAGAGAACTGCAATAGAAGGTACAAAATTTAACAAGTTTTGGATCGAGAATATGAAAATCTAAATAAACCTGAGAGATATTAGCCTGATGAGCATTAGGCGATGAGAATGTCAGTAACTCTTTAGCCTCATATTCTTGTAGAAATGGCTTATACATTGATTGGAATAAACCAAACTGTCCTTCAACAATCCTCTTCACCTGCAGGTGGTTGCAAGAATGAACAACAGAAACTCCAAACAATCATAAGAAATAATCACCATTTGCCAACTTCAGCAACATAAGATGTAAATCATAAATATCCTAGAAAACCAGAAGACTTCAAGTCACCAATGATATCTCCAATAGCCAAATCAGTTGGAACACCAGTGATTTCAGTCAAACAAAGTGATACAAGTAACCACTAGCATTTCATATAGACAATCTAATAATGATTCATTGTCAAAGAAAAAAGCCCTTATGCAGTGGAGGTGGAACATAGACCTCATAAATAATTAAACTATATTTTGACAGTTCACAGTGAGTTAAATCAAATGATGTGATTGAGGAGCATAAATAATGATTAGTAGATCAAATCAGTTATTAAAAGTAATCATTAAAACCAGCAATTATTAAATTTAAGTGCACACAAATTATGAAGCTTATGAGCACTATCAAAACCTATAAGCAACTTCCTTCGGGTGGTCTGTGTAAGCTGCAATCAAACTTTACCTTATTTTTATCCTCTGCAAAAAGCATGCGCAAGTCACCCATATAAGAGAGGCTACATATTTTGGAATACAAATCTTCCTGCATAAGCATGGAATATGTTAGGGATTCTATTAGTTCTATAATGGTTCGCCAGTAAAGGAGCAAACCTCAGTGAATTTGGATGGTAAAAGGAGAAGAGCAGCAGAGACTGCAGCCCTCAGATTGACAGAGTTTACATCTCCAATATCCAAATTATCCACAAGTATATGGACCTGTATAAATGAACTTGAAGAAATGTTGATTGTGGATGGCAAACAGAATTAACAGGCAAGGGATACAGAGGAAGCATGAGACCCGATGGCAAGCAACAGTGACAAGAAAAGGAATAAAAGAGACTACACAGCTAAACATAGGTTCTTATTGATTTGCTCAGAAGCCAAAAAATTAGAGGATGTTAAAATGCATCTACCTAATCTATAAGGCAATGAAAAAAATTAAAATCAGACATGGAGATATTAGTGGGCATGGAAGAATATCACAATTTGGCTTAACCAGAACAGCACATCATGGATCAGCTGCAAGGAGCACCCATTTGGGACTGTACACAAATCAAAATACCTAACCCAATTCAATAAGCCCAAGTCCCAATCTAAGGTTGGCTATATAAATCCCTTTTCTTCATTCTTTATGATCTACGTCATGGAATGGAAGGAACTGATTTTACACCATCGTCGTCAGCCTACTACAATCCTCCCATTTTCCTGATAGCCAAAGGCAAGAAACAGGAAATTTGAGACTACAAAATATACCAGCTTTCGAAATGATTTTGAGGCAAGGATTTAATTCAGCGCACAAAAGAGTAAGCAGGCTACTTAACAATTCTAGGAAGAATTTAAACTTGGACAACAAGTTGAAATTTCTAAGCAGAAATATTTCAAGCAGTAAACATTATGCATGTCAGACACGTGAAAGGGACTTTATCATTAAAAAATTGTAAATCAGCTTGTTGAAAGGATGTGGATAGTTTCAATGATCAAATGAAACAAGTGTGAGCTTGGTTTTAGGCTTTGATTTCTTATGGAGCATGGACTGGAACATATAGAGTTCAGTTCACGACTTCAAAGTTTCGGAACCTGTATGCACTCTAGTATTCTGAGGTGTCATTTAAATATTATTTTAAATAAATGCTAAATAAACATGAAAAATGCTTTCTCCATATCTAATTAGTCCTTTAATACAAATAGTTAATAATTTCTTCAGAAGGGCATTACTTATCACCATTTAAAACATTATCATATGGGTCGTTTCAGGTAGACTTTGCGCTTTCAGAAAAAGCATAAATCTTCCTGGTATTTTCAGATAGACAATACAAGGATATCATGAATGTAACACAAGAAAATATTTCATTTATTTAAAACCCCTGTGTTGGATAAAATGAATAAGCTTTCAATTCATCCCTTACACTTCATATTTGAATGAACTTAAGCTCACACATTGGAATTGAAATAACGAATTCACTCATGTAGCCTATTCTACAGAATACAAAATTGAACCTAACTTCAACAGATTTTGGTTTTTTTAACTCAATTCATTTCTGTTCTGTTCTAATCAGCACTATGAATCTGAATTGAATTCTATCTTAGTTCTTGTCTACTTCACATTAAAAAAAACTTCAATGTAACATAGAATTGGTTCCAATAAAGGTCAGGGAACAAATTAAGCAAAGAACAAGAATACCTACAAAACAAAATTGAGAAGAAAAGTATAAAATAACAGAGAAGACACACTGGTTTTTGTAGACGACCACTCAAATAGAATCTCTCCCAATGCAGTACATCCTGAACCAAGTCATGCATCCTAACAACGCCATATTTGAGCATCTGAAATGAATTCATCAAACATTTTACAAGTTACTAGATATTACTGGGATAAGGATAATGTGACAAAATCTAAAATGATATGCTAAAGGAAGAAAAGTTGAATGTATGGTATCTGGGTGCATGTAAGAACTGATTCCCTTTTCTAGTTCACAGTATGCTTAGTAAATACCTTGTCATTCCATGTTACAAACGGATTAAAGTGCACTCCTACACCAATCACATCGGCAGTTTGAGTAATCTGACATAATAACTAAGTTATAGTCTCAGGATTAAGGCAGTAAAATACGAGAGCGAGAGAGAGAGAGAGGCACCAGTTTTGCACCGCCAAGGCTCACCATCCAGGCATAGTGATCTTCATTCGATTCCATATTCTTGCAAGTGCGATAACCAAAAATAGAATGAGTACATTCAATTTTAGTATTTGAAAAAGAGCGACATCAACTATATGTTTCTAAATTGTATAAATCTACCTCAGAATGCCATTGCTCGGGATCTGATACGCCAATAATGTAATCTACCATGGATGACTACAAAACCAATAATCACTAAGAAACAGGTTCATACATTTTAAAATTTTAAAGAATGATGAAGCATAAAGAAACCAATCAATAGAATTTGAAAGATGTGAGAAAAATGAAAACGAAAACCTTGTCATTATTATTTGGATGGAGAGATGAGCCATAGACGCAAGAAAATTCAACTGGGGGAAGAACCTTGAGAAAACTCTTCAGCTCAGCAACTTTGTCAATCTCCATAGAGTTTCTAGCGTCAACTGAACAAATTTACAATAAGTACAAAAACGCAGGGGCAACCTTCAACATTTTGATGAAAGTAACCATGGTTGCAACACTAAATTACGGCAATTTACAAACATGGAAAATATAAATAAATGAAAAACTACTAAATGCCAGAACTAGAGATAAATCTAATCAAGCAATGTCAAACACATTGAATCACCCTGAAAGTGGACTATCCTGGTTAAACATATGCATTCTTGAAATGGGCCATAAACCCATAAAGTCTATCTATCAAACCAAGGCAATTTGAATTCGCGACTCACGCCTAGCTTAACAATTAGCAAGTGTAAAAAATCCATCCATTGAAGGCATTCACATACATAATTTATGCAACTTTACGAACTGTGATTATTTGTGAGGCACTCTATCAAACAGTTGATATGCATGTCGAAAAAAGTTGATTTGCTTTGTGAAGTCTGTTCAATGAAAGTGAAGAAGTGGGTATGCAAATGGCTTTTTATTACATGTAACTGTCTCAAGGAAAAAACTGAGAGATAAATTATGGTGTACGAAAGAGACATGAACTCTCCTCACTTACGTGGGCTTGTCAGGAGGGTACTTAAAAACCAGGCTTTTGGAAAATTTGAAGTCAGGATATGGGTAGGCCTGGCCTGCTGAATTAACATGGAGTCTTTTCATTTTTGGTGCTTGGGTTATAGTAGAGGAGGCCCAGTAGGGTAATAACTAATTTTTTATTTTTTAGTTAAAATTGATCCTTTATTTTTAACTTACCATGATTGAGTCCCCTAATTAGACGTAATTAGCTTCGAAATTAGGACAGGGTTGGTTGAGACTTGAGACTCTGATGGAAAGAAAGAGGAATGGATCACGTGGATTGATTTGACCAAATATTGATACTTGAGCTACCACATGTAAATAGCTTCGAAATTAGGACAGGGCCTCTGGCTATACTGTTCCGTAGCCTACATGAGCAGGAATAATTTAGCTTCTCTTGGTCATTGTTTAAATCGGTACCTAAGTTACCATTTCATACCCGCAATTCGTCTCCTACAAAATACACAACAGGCGAAGAAAAGCCTAGTCCTTAGCTACTGGAAAGAAAACGTAAGAGTCGCACCTACTATGCAAACAACTTCAGAATTTCATAATAATTTTGCTAATAAATTATCTATTACAGTAGTAGCCGTCTTTCCCTCTCAGATCCCTGAACATCTTGTACATCATATGATGTGAAAACATGACAACGTTCACTCCCAAAGTTCAGGGAGATACAGACACTGTAACTAATAATATCAAATTGTTCCATGGATGAGGTGAAGAATTAGACATTTAACAGCTGCTTTGGGAGAGAAATAAGCCCCTCAGCAGGTTGACTTCTTCCCAGAAGTAAGAAATTCCTGTACTGCCACCAAGTCAGGAAGCACAATAGCACCAGATTTTTCCCATTCCCTGGCATCTGGTATCTTAAACCTATCCAGCAGCAATGCATGCATCCCCACGCTCTTTGCTGGCAAGTAGTCTTTGCGCATGCTATCTCCAATGTGTAGAGCTACTTCTGGAGCAATATTTCCAGCCCTCTCAAGGGCAATCTTATAAATCCTTGGGTCTGGTTTCTCAACGCCTTCTAGACCGGAGAATACACCAAAGTCCCACTCAGATCCCTGATTTCCAAAATGATATTCCTATTAGATTTCTTGTACTCAACATGGACAATGCACAAAAGAATGAGTAGGGAACAATCAATAGTTTCAGTGATATACACGTGCATGCACACACACACATGAACACAAACACATATGCATGTATGCGGTAGCTTTCACAGTGATATTTGGTGCAATTAAGTCAAGACCTCCAAACTGGATCAAGTCTAAAACCAGCTACAGTTAGACTTGAATAGAACATAAGGAATTAAAACCACAACTCTCTTTTGGGAAAAGATGCTATTTGTTTACCTGCTCCAAACCCAAGGCTGGAAGAATCACATCCTTATAACGGTATTCGGCATTACTAACAATCCCAACTAGAAGACCTTCTCCACGCGCCCATCTAAGGAAAGGTTGGGAGTCTGGAAAGACTCTATAAGGCATGGATGAACCAAAGGCTGCATATATACGCTTAAAGATCTTCTCAAATGTCTCTTCATCATAATCATATCCGGCCTGCCAGAAAAAGAGATTTGCAAATCTGTCCATGTATGTACGTATATAAATACTGATAATAAGATGAAGCCAAAACTGCAGGCATCATGACTATCAATATCGCAATGTCATTGAATACCAGATGCAATGAAGAGGCCACCTTAATTATGATAAAATATCCAGAATGTAAACTTCGAATAACGTTACTGCCTTTACACCATGTGACGTTCCATGTTTCAGAAATCATTAAGAGAGATACAGCATATAAAAAAAATTCTAAACACATACCTTGATGAAAGAATTTCTCACACATGTTTTCCACCAGACAATATTAGGCATTTTTGCTGCATGTCCAAAGCATGGATACTTTTTGGCCATTTCTGCATATGCAATTTTGAAGCCCTCATGCACACGATTGTAGTCAGGGCATGGCTTGCCAACAGCTTTTGCTGCCATGCAATAGTAGTCACCAAGCTCGCCTTTGTAAGCTAAGAGCGTACCGGTGACATCCACCGTGATGCAGCGTAATTTTGACATCAGAGACATTACAATAGGCAAGCAGCAGGCTTTCAGAAATATAAAAATATTAAAGTTCCTATTGTTGGAATTTCAATTTTCACATTAACATAATAGTATCCTCGAGGTAATAGATGGTGTTACAGATCAAGCAGTTCCTTCAATAGATCAAGAGGAGTCCTGGATCCGCATAAATGACAAAAATGGGTTAAGTGATGCTAACATCAACCAATAATTATAATTGAATAAATTTCATCAGCAGTAATTAATACATTCAGAACACAGCAAATTGATTATCCATTGATAATATAAAATTTGGCGATCATTTTATTCTAAAACTAGTTGTTTGAACATTAAGTGAATTAAAGAGGCAATTCAAATCAAGCACTTGAGCAATTTATAATGGTCACTTGACAGCAAACAAATGGCCATACATTTCCGCTATGATTAAAATTGCTTTTGAAGACTGCAACCACAAGAAGTTGACAAAGATCAATTTAATTTTAAGAAACTATTAGAAGAGGATGTAAGTTGGATATGGGCCGTTTGCTTCATTACGACAGTCATACGAGAGTTAATTGAAAACAGCAAAATCGACAAACAATAATTACAAGCATAGAGGAAAACAATAACTGATTTGATAAGGTTTGATCAAGCAAAGAAAAGACTTGAGGCATGCCTAGTAATACAGTTGAATCAAGAAGAGGTGAGGTTTGGAAGCCAAAATAGCTTGGAGGTAACTGCATCTCTAAAGAGAATGATATGTGAGCAAATACAAACCTATTCGGTGACTTTAAAATGAAGTTTGGAAGGAAAGCTTGGAATAGCTATTTAAGCCATTATCTTAAAGAGCTACTTGGCAAAACGTTCTGGGTTTGCAGAAGCATGGGGTGTTGACAAAAAGGTTGGGAAATAGAGGGGGTTTTCCCAGGACAACCTGATTTATGTAATTGGAAATGAACATTAATCTAACATGAAAAGAGCGAGACTAGTTGGTTCATTCTAGGGAACAAAGACCTCCAATAATATACAAACCAAATAAGAGTAAGAGAATATTTAGCACTAATTGTCAACTTGTCCAAATTATATCCTTTGAATAGGCATTAATTTATAGTTGTAATTCTAAATAATTCCTAGTAAATTAAGCCACTGGAGTAAGAGGATTCTCTACTTAAACAGTTAAACTGACCACTGAGAAGAAGACTTATTCAAACTACTTTGTAAGCCTACAAAATAGGAGCATATCAAGTGCAACAAATAATTCTAAAACTAAAACTGAGGAAGTTTGCTAATGTTCAATCTCTCTGCTTTATGAAAAAACTCCATACTAATGTTCAACGTTTTAGTTTCCATATTAATGAACCTCAATCTCTCTGTTAGGCAAAAACCTCATGCTAATGTTGAAAGTTTTATGAAAAAACTCCTCGTACTATACATGTAAGCAAGTCATTGCATCACAAAAGCAAGAGACAGAGACATAGAGAGAGAGTAATCACTGGCCAAACCCAGTTCAATACCAGCACAAACTGTACCCAGTTTAGCAATGTGCGTAACCCATTTTGCCATCTAACCTGCTTCCTCAAGAATTCTTTTATTTTAATGATTGTATAATCAAGATCATACATTGAAAGAGGAATTTTCTCTTTTCTTTTCTCTGTCAAAAAAAGGCGGAAAAAAAAAAAAAAACAGAGACAGATACATAGGCATGTAAACTAAGAGAAAAGAATTGAAAAAAGAAAACCCATTAAGGAAGGAGGAAAACCGAACATACCTACAAGCTGAAACGAAAAGGAATCTGAGTATTGCTTCTTGGAAATCAAATCAGAACAAACAAGTCTTGGACCACCTGAAACCTCTTTTTTTTTTTTTTTTTTTTTCTTTCCTTATGTTTGCGAGTGCTCATATTTATATATGGCAAGACAAAGCCGTGTTTCCAAAGTATTAAGAAATCTGTTCTGTAAGATGGTTTTTTTATTACTCCTCCTCTGGCCTCTGCTTCTTGTGTCAAGTTCTCTGACGTTGGGTATCATTTTGTTTGGTCCCTTTTCTTTTTTGTCCCATTTCGCCTCGTCTTTTTGGCTCAATTTCATTTACTTTTATCCTTAGTAATTTATTTACTAGCCTTACAAGAGGGTGGAAATGAACCAAAAAAAAAAGGAAGGAATGACGACTACAATTGACCCAAAACTGAGGAGCTACTTGTAACAAAATTTCCTAGGCTGGAAAAGCGTGTCACGGTCTCACAGAAAACCATGGATGGCGGCCTGTGGTATTGCTAACCAAAGGCGTTGTTTTGTTCTCCGGTTTTGGATAACCAAAATTCAAAAGCCCGGTTTTTTTCTTTTCTTTTCTTTTGATAACATTGGCATGTGGTCAATGTGGAAATGGAGGTTGTTACGTGTCTGGCAAACGGGGGCACTTCTAAGAAATAACTAAACGCATCGTTTCAGTATTCCGTATGGAACATATTACCAATATTTGGATTTATTTGCTTGAACAATGATATTTTCTTTTCCATTTTATTCACTGCACAATTCAATACGTACATATATAGGAGTTGATCCTAATTAACAGCAACTAATCAATAAAAACCAGTAAGACTAATTAAGAGTGAATATTTGAGTTTATTCCTAGCTAACTTTGAACATTGCTTTTAAAATTAAATCACTAAATAACCCACTAACCGTAGAACATAACCAACCGTAGATTATGTTCATTTACATCACTAATTAATCAAATGAGGTGAGACCCACCATCGGTTAATTTACATAACTAACCAATCAAGTTGTTTTTTTTTAATCGAAAAAATTATTAGATCTTGACTGCACAATGAAGTTATCTCTTCTTCAATCAAGTTATTTAAATTATTTTACTCAACATTATGTCATTTAAGATCTTTTTTTAATATTTTTTTATACCCATTCTAATTATTGCTCCGAAAATTGAAATTCACCTCAATATTATAGAGAAACGCCTTAAGCACCCTTCAATCTGTTCTTGGTCCTAAATTCTATTATCACTAAACCTCTATAATATCTAACCATAATGTTAAAGATATTGTTCTAAAATTAAGAGACATTTCGACAATCCACATTAGGCTTTTGATTACTTCCCTAAATGCATAAATCTATCTTAGAAAGGGAAGCTTACTTCTTGTTTCTACCAAATTAAATCGTGGGCTCTATTTTTATTAGTTCTTCCAATGCTAAAGCTTGAACCCATCCTATACAAGAAAATATACTCCATAAAAATATCGAATTTACAATTACTCCTACAATTTATGCATCACCAACCAAGCTCTCCCTTACTTAATATTAAGAGTTTTACACTACAAGTGTCATACTTGAGTTGTAATTATTTCATATAGTGGTTAGTTGTAACTAATAACAAAATTAGTTTTTAGTTAGTTAGTTAGTGATTGGTTAGTTGGTAAGTTAGCTAGCTTAGTTAGTAGTTGGCTTTTTCTTCTCTCTTCTTAGTAGTGTATATATAACTACTAGTAAGAGAGAGAAAGTGAGTAACAAAATATATCAAAATGGAGAATTCCTAGTTTGTTTCTTCTCGAATTTTCTTTGTCTTCTCCTAATATTCAAACATAATATCGGAGTTTTAATGACCAAATAGTTGCGATTTCAATTCTTATCATCCTCATTTCTCTTTTAATTAATTAAGCACAAAATAATGTGGACTTGTGCAAGTTTCAAGCCCAAAATCTTTCACTTGAGAGGATGTGCTAGAAAATAATATAAATCATATTTCGTGGCCTCATCTAGCATGTTAAGTTTTTAGGTTGAAATGATCTTTTGACATGAGAAGACAAAGAAAATTGGAGAAGAAGTAAACTTGGAATTCTCCAATTTGATATATTTATGTTACTAAGTTACTAACTTTCTCTCTCTCTTACCGATCGCTTCTATACACTGCTAAGAAGAGAGAAGAAAAAGCCAATTACTAACTAAGCTAACTTATTGACTAACTAATTAGAAACTAATTTTGTTATTAGTTATAGCTAACCACAAGATGAAATAATTACAACTCAAGTATGCCATGTGTAGCATAAAACTCTTAATATTCCCCCTTAAAAAAAGCATGAATATCTTTGATGTTTATTTTGTCCAAAAGAAAACAAAGCCTGGATAGGTTGCAAAGCTTTAGTAAACAAGTCTCGCAATTGTAAATGGGAAGGCACAAACTCAAGTCCGATAATGCCAAATAGAATTTTATTCCTAATGAAGTAACAATCAATTTCAATATGTTTTGTTCTTTCATAAAAAAATAGGATTCCTACTAATATAAATAGCAAATTGATTATAACAATGCAACACCATAGCATTCTTATGAACAAAGACGAGTAGCCAAACCAATTCATAGCAATTGAAAACCATAAACCTATACTCAACTTCAATTGAGCTTCTAGCTATCAAAGATTGTTTATTAGACTTATAACTAACAAAAGAGGTACCAAAAAAAACATAACAACTAGTGATCGATCTTTGAGAATCTTTACAACGAGGCCCATCACTATATGTGTAGGCTTTTAACTACGTCTTAAAATTGGTTAAAGATATGATATCTTACCCCGATGCTTGTTTTAAGTACCCCGGAACCATAAAAGTAGTTTGTAAATAAGTGTATGTAGGTTTGTCCATACATTGAGATAACATTTGAGTAGCAAAGCAAATGTCGAGTCTTGTGAAGATCAAATACCGTAGCTTACCCACTAGTTGCTTGTAGAAAGTAAGATCTTTTAGAAGCTTAGAACAAACCCGAACGAGCTTGATATTAGGATTTATTAGAGTAGAGGCCGGTTTAACCCCTAACAAATCATGTTTTGTTAACAAATCCAGAATGTATTTGCATTGACACAAAGATATCCCTTCATAAGACCAAGTAACCTCAATTCCAAGAAATAATTTCAACTTGCCAATGTCTTTTATCTTGAATAGAGAATGAAGAAACTTCTTGAAATCTTCAATAATTTTTGCTCAATTACTTACAATGGTAATATAATTCACATATACAAGTAAAAC